TACTTGCTATTTAATTATATAAATTTGAAATTATTTTTCTGTAATTTTTTTTATGAAAATTAAAAAATATTTCTAAATTGAGTCAAATAATTCTTAAATTTAATAAATCAATATTTGAATACTACTGCAAAATATTTTGAGAAAGCCTTTTATGATGATATTATAATCATGAGAAAAAAATCCATTTTTAGGAAAGCAAGATATTTATCACAAGCAGAAGAAACTTCCTGTATATTAGATGAACAAAATGGTGAAACAAAAGAAAATGGAGATAACTCTAGTGAAAAAAGTAAACTCAATACAGAAATTAAAACATTTGTGGAAGATACTAACAATGAACTTAATTTTTATCTGAATGACAACAAAATTAAGGATACTACAGAAAAATGTCAAAAGTCATCCTCATATGTAAATTGGAGAGGAATGGACTTTGTTAATTTAGTATTAAATGAAGAAACAGATCATAATATCCCAAGTCTTGTTAATTGTTGGAATAAAAAACAAAGTTCTTTAGAGACACAAATACGTGAGAAAACAAGTTCAACATGTAATTTGAAAAATTTTGATTATTGCGCTGTTTTGAATAAAAATGATGATTGCACCAGTCCTTATAAAAATAGTGATTTACCAGATTTAATATCATTACCATATGGCCAACTCAATGAGGATGATCAAGAACAAAATAAAAAAGACATTATTTATAAAAGACTTACTAAGTTTACCAATATTACTAATGATATATCTAATTACTATTATAAAAAATATGAAGCTAATCAAAATCAACTTAATTGTGGAAAGTGGAGTATGTATATACATAAGAGAGGAAAACAATTTGTAAATATGGTGTACAATGAGTTTTATTCCGAAGAAACTTTTAGAGAAGATTCTACTAATATTTGGAATGCTTATAGTACTAATAAGCAAAATAGTATATTAAGTGATACAGGAAATCATTGTAATATGACATCACTAATATATGAAATTAAAAAGAGAGAAAACACAAGTGACCCATATGGTTTAAATTGGATTCCTATAGAAGACCATGATGAAACTTCATATACTACACCTTCATTACCAACTATTACAGAATCAACAATGGAAATTTCTGATACACCACATGTTAGGAATGATGTAGATCTATTAGATGATGAAACAAAAGCTAAAATTGGAGGTTTTAAGGATTCTAAAAATACTACCCTAAATGCTATATCATCACCGGATGATACAGATAAAGCTTCAGCGGCTGAAAAAATTGCAAAAGCTGCAACTACTGTTTCTCTAGGAGATCCACCACAATCCAATTCTTTAACTTCAAATAATACGAATGGACATAACTTGTCTAAAACTGAGCCTAAAATTTTATCTTCTTCTACAGATGATAACTCTACACATTCTAATACTATCATTAGACCTTCTGAAAACCATACTCCACCTTCTCCTGAGATTGTACCATCTGTTAAACCCATGTTTTCTGCAGATAACAATTCATCTTTCTCAGGAATTTCTACATCCCCTATTGTTGGGTCTACTAATTCTACAACTAATGATGAAACTTCTTCATTTAATGGTACACATTCTACAAATAAGCATACGTCTCCCGGTATGAATATGCCCGAATCTCCCACTCCTAGCAGTGCACAACCTATAATTGTTACTGAAATTAATTCTAATGGTACTACACCTTTTTCAAATGAATCATTAACTGAGGCACCTAATTCTAAACCTCCTGTTGAGGCACATACTCATCTAATTAATGCTGCACTTCCCAAAAATGATACTGTGTCTACAACCTCAGTTGAATCTTTAACACCTTTAAATATCAGTGCATCTTCTAATAATACAATTGAATCTACTACAACAAATAATGGTACACAATTAATTGAAAAAAGCTATTCTCCAACACAAAATTCACAAAATGAACTTACGCCTATTTCTCAACCTAGTAATTTACCTTTAATCAAAGTTCATAATGATACATTAGCAAATTGTTCGGGCATTTGTCCTAAAAATATGAATGTATCAAATAGTACTACCCCACAAACTCCACTGGATAATGATACTGAAGTTACCCCTACTGTTAAAACCACAGGAAATGTAATAATAACAGGCGTTTCAGTAGGTATATTTATTTTAGGAATTGTTCTCCTTTTAATTATTATATATAGAGTAAGATAAAATTAATAATTAAAAATTCAAAAACATATATATATAAAATACTAATAACTATATTAGTAAAATTTTCATAATTTTCTTATTTTTATTTCTAATTATAGTGCACTCCTATTGGATCTTGGATTCGTAATCGAAAATCAAAGAAAAAAAAAATAAGAAAAAAGATAAAAAAAATTTCAAAGAAACCAATGCCATTATCTACAAATAATATAGAGGATGGACCAATGAATAGTGGAAATCACTCTTTGTTACAGCATGAAAAACAAATACCATCATGTGAAGTTAGTTATGAAAGTGAAGGAAATTTGAAATATGAGGAGAAGGAAAAATCCAAAGAATGTAAAGGAATATACAATAAAAAAGAAAATAAACCCATTTGTGATGATACAGAAGAAGGGTCATATAAGTATGAAAATGAACTTATATGCGAAGAAAAATTAAATAAAGATAATCCTAAAAGTGAAATTGAAAAAGCGGAATTGAATGTAGATGAATCTATAAATGAAATTAAAGACGAATTAAATAAAAATAGATTAGAAGAAAATCCTTTTCATGCTGTAGGGTATATTAGGAATAATACATTAAATGAGGAAATAGAAAAGGAAATAAACTTGCAAAAAGAAAAATCTACATGTGAAATTGAAATGAAAAATTTAGGAAATAAAACGTCAATCAAGAATGATGTATGCAATTGGGATTCATGGGTAGATATACATATGACTGCATTACTAGAGTGTAAAAAAGAGGAATGGAAATTGAATAAAACCGAATTTTTTGATATTTGTTTAGAAGAGATCGAAAAACATGAAGAAAATTCTAATTTAAAAGAAATGGGAAATAATTTTGTAGTGAAAATAAAAGAAGAAAATAATATTCATGCTACAGATAAAAATAGTAGTATATTAGATAAATATAAAAATGAAGAGTGGTTTATTAATTTGAAGAAAGAGTGGAAAGATGAACAAGAAAAATACTTAGGATATTTAGATGAACAAGAAATTGAAAAAATGACAGAAATGGGAGTAAATAATTTTATGCTAGATAAAAAAAAAAAAATATGGAAGAAATGGATAGAATGGCAAATAGAGCATTCATACGAATACAAAAATCAGAATTGGTTTATAAAATTGTTAGAAGAATATGAAAAAGAAGAAATTCATGAAAATTTGAACGAAGAAAAAATAAAGAAAGAAAGAAATAATGGAATAGATAAAAATGAAATGCAGAAAAATTTGGAAAGGAGAATTTTGTTAGATATTCATATGATGGTATTAGAGGAATGTACGAAAGAAGAGTGGGAAAAAGAAGAAGAATTTTTTAAAACAAACATTGAAGAGATAAAAAAATATAAAAATTTGGAAGAAGAAACAAATATATTAGATAAAATAGAAAGAGAAAGAAGTTGGAATGTTATATCAGAGAAAAAAAAAGAGGAAATCGAAAAATGGAAAAAACAAAAATGGTTTATTGAGTTAATGTTAGAATGGAAAAATAAAGAAGAAAAATATATGATGGAGATAAATGAAGAAATTTTAGCAAAAAAGAATCAAGGAAGAGTAATAGATGTTATCTTAGAAAGAAAAAGCAATATATGGAAAAAACACTGCGAAAATATTTGTAAAAAGTGGATAGATGAAGACAATAATGAAGAATGGTTTACAAAGTTAGTTAATGAATATGAAAAAGAAGAGAAAGAACATAAAAGCAGAATTTATAAAAAAAGTATAGAAAAAGAAAAGGAAAATGAAAAAACCATAGAAAGTTGTGAACCGCTAACAAAGTTTAACAAAAAGGGAGAAGAAAAAATGATAAAATATGAAAGGAATAATTTAGAGGAATCATATGAAATGAATAATTCTAAAATAATCAAAAAAAAATTAAAATGGAAGACTTTAATAGAAATATATATGGTAATATTAGAAGAATGTAGAAAAGAGGAGTGGTTATTGAATAGAGGAAAATTTTTAGAAACCTGTTTAGAAGAATTTATAGAAGAAGATAAAGAAAAATATCCAAAAATAATAGAAAATGAATTAGCCATGATGAAAGAAGGAGAAGAAGAC